TGCATTGTCTGTTTTTTTTTTTTTTTCACCAATACCACACTGTCATATATTATAAGTTGGATATTATCAGCCCTCCAACTTTGTTCTTCTTTAATACTGTGTTGACTGTTCTGGGTCTTTTCCTTCTCCATGTAAACTTTAGAATCAGTTGTTGATATGCAAAAATATCTTGTTAGGATTTTGATTGGGATTGCATTGAATCTATAGATTAAGTTGGGAAGAACTGATATCTTGACAATATGAGATGCCTGACCTTTTAAATCTGTAACTCTTTAGAGCTTCACTTTATCATAGGTGCTGTAGATTAGGGATTCGGGATTATCATAAGGGTTACTTTTTCTTTTTAACTCAGGAAGCTGTTAATGCTGTTAAGATCCAGGTGAATAGTATAATGTGTATTCTTCTAGCACTTACTGCTTGCTCATTTTGTCAAATGCAAGGTCCCTTTTGGATGGACCAGTTGCAATTTTGTGAGTTCTCACTTCTGTTTTTTTTTAATAGAATATTTGAAAATGGAGTTGTCCTGTTGTTTAAGCTGCTTCATCAAATATTTACAAAGTATAAAACTATGCTGCCCTCAAGGAAATAAGTATAGAAGAGATAAAAAATTAAAGTATTATAACTGAGGTATATATTAGTTATAATAGCAATTCAGGAGGATTGCTTACTTCAGCTTGTAAGATTTAGGAAAAGCTTTATAGAAAAAGTGAATCTGAGGTGAGCTGGAAGTTGAATGAAGGAAGGATATTTTGGTTAAGGAATAGTTAGTATCAAGTCTCAGAAGGAATGATCATAAATCCAAGAAATGACTGGTAGCTTGGCTCAGTTGAATTGTAGGTGCAGTACTATGAAGTGATAGAATATAAGGATAAAGACCAGGGCAGAGACCAGATTATGAAGTCCTGAAGTGCATCAAAAGTTTTAGATTAAAGCATGAAGATTTTAAACACTGTACATGACATGATTAGATTTGGGCTTTTAGATATTCACTTGGCATCAACATAGAAATGGATTGAAGAGAGTTGAGAACAGAGATAAAATCTAGTTATAAGGCAAGTGTAATTGTAGTTGAAAGGTGATAGTAAACAATAAGTAGAATAGTTGGGATGTGAAGAAGTTTCCTAGGTTTTAGATTTGGGGCAAACAGTGATGTCATTGACTGAAAGAGGAAATATAGAAAGAGCAACAAACTTTGGAGGAAAGGTCATAATTTATCTTGGACAGGTTAAATTTTGAGGTGCCTAACTGACATTCAGATAGAAATGTTCTAATACAAAGTCAGAGAGAGATCTGCGTCTGTAGCTCTGAGACAGGTCCACAATGGTTTGAAAATTCTTAGTGCAGACCATACTATAGGTGAATGTTTATAGATTCAATGGCTCAGAGTAACAAGTAAGAGCAGGGCCTGAGTTTGGAATCCTGAGGAAAGTCAACATTTAAGCCTGGGCTGATGAAGAGCAGTCTTAAAGGAAAATAATTGGAGAGGAAGAAGAGTAATCAGGAGAGAATAATGTATGGGAACCAGGTAGGACATTTAATGCAGAGATTAAATTCTGCGGCAAGTGTAAGTAAAAGGACCCAGAGATTTTCCTGAATTGGGAAGGAAGGTGAACTTTGTGGTCCTGAGGAAAAGAGTTTTTGTGGAGTGGTGAAAGTGAGATTCAGAAAGCTGCTCTAATTCATTTTCCACCTCAAGGGTTGCTGAGAGTAGCTGAAAGGTGTAGTAGCACATGGAATAGTTTCAGGATTAACAAGAGAACAGGACCTAATATTTTTCTTTTTAAAGGAAGTGTGGGATTTCTGCCACACTATCCAGTATGGATAATGGAAAGTAAGTGATTTTATTTTCTGAAAGTTTTTCCTTGTTCAAATGTAATTTCTCTTAGCACTTTTTTTCTTTCCCAGTTTGCACTCTGCCCAGCACTACAGTATTTCTCATGCTTCCCATGTTCATTGCTTGTATCCAGATCAAATCTCCTTTGAAAATGTATTTCCCATTTGTATTCTTTAATAAAAGTTCCCAATGCTTCCATGAATTTCATAAATAGAAATGCCAAGAAACTTCTTTCTCCCGAAATTAATGTCTTTTTCAGTTTGTGTAATTTAAAAATAGACATTTCTTAAATCTTCCTATTAAATGTTTTAATGGCAGAAATTATGCTTTATTCTTACTCAATTTTATATGTAAAACACTTTTGGAAATAACTTTGGGCCCATGTATTTTTATCCTGAAATTAAATATATATGACATTGCAGGGAAATTATACTAATAACTAAGATTATCATGAATTCAATTTTTTCACTGGGAATGGGAAGTCAAATCTTACAGTACACTAGTATTCTAATGGATGACATCAGGTATAGCTATACATGTGAAAACAAAAGCACTGAATTAGCCAACTGGCTCACTAGAATGGTATAATAATTATCATCGGCAGACTAGTTCTTACTCCTCTTGTATGTCTTGCCTATAATAGACGTTGCATAACTAATTATTTGATTAAGTTAAAATAGAGTGGGAGGGAATGGGTTAAATAGGTGATGGGGACTAAAAAGGGCACCTGTTGGATGAGCACTGGGTATTGTATGGAAGTGTTGAAACTAATATTACATTGTATGTTAACTTATTGGAATTTAAATAAAAACTTTTTAAAAAGTTAAACAGCAATATAAGACAATGCGGGTGACAACTAAAATGGGAGTATAATCATAGTGAGAAGGCAATAAAAAGTGTTAGCGAGAGAGAAAGCAAAGTACAGAAATGGTTAAGTTATGAAGAAGAAGTAAAAGGTATCTGGGAGAATAGGAAAAGAATGAAAAAATAGGAAAATTTGGTGGTGAGAAGACATTGTAAATAACATGGAATTTTCCACTACATATGAAGGATTAGAAATGAAACTGAGGCTAATTTTACTGTATTAATAGGGAGATTTCTTTGTTATGAGAATTTTTTAGAATATATTTTTAGGACCTTTATTCTTCTTTTAAAAGTACTTTTTACTTTTGCATATACCGTGTCTGGTATCTGTATAAAAGCTTGTAAAATACACAACAGATCTTATTTTCTCTCTTTTTACACAAAGAAACTAATGGAAAAAAACTATTTTCTCAAGGTCAGATTTAGAATTAGAATTGAAATTTCCTGAATTGTAACCAGTGCTCATCTCAGTAACAGATGATATTTCTTCAACACAGAGCAGAATTTAGTGGCCCACTATTAATAAGACATTAATTACAGTTCCCTTTTGAACATCCTGAGTGGCTAATTCTAGACAGTAGATAAAAATGGGACTCAGAAAAGTCGTCTCTTCTGAGTCTGGTCTATATTGAGGCATCCATGCATCACTGGCAGCTGCATGTAGGGTGAGGGGGTGGTTGCCATAGGATACTCAGGAAATGAGTTGGAGTATGAGGGTCAAAGGTAGGATAACAAAATGTTTGCTGTCTTATCTAGGACAGGTATCTACTACACTTAGAACAGCTGATACTGCTTGGACTGCCAAAGCTGCATAACCTTGCCCATAATCAGCATGAGCCATCTTGAAGTGAGAACTCTTTAATACCATATTCACATTAGAGGTAAAATGATGTAAGAACTAAAAAGTTCAGGGCCAGCTCTGCCACTAATCAACTGTGTGACCTCTAGGCAAATTATTTAATCTCTTTAAGCTTCAGCTCTCTCATTGATCAAATAGGCATAATAATGGAAGATTAAAAAAATAATAATGGGAAGATTAAATGCTGAATGTATAATGCTTAGTATATGATGCTTGAGTTTAGCACATAAGCTATTTTAATGATACTTTAAAATATGAATTTATCATTAATCCAAGAGTATTGTGAGAATTTTATGATGGGACAAGATATAATGCTTGCATCTTGTAAATTATTAAATAATGCTAAGGAATAAGACAAGTACATGTATTTGGAAGTTTTAAGGTGATGAACAGGGTACATGTACATTTTATGTAAAACCCTACTCTTATGTAAGTTAGGAATAGATAGTTTTCTTCAGTATAGATTATGAGTATGTAAGATTCTTTGAAAATATTTTTGGGGCCAAAGAGAAATAACTTCCTTAGCTATTAATGATTTGAAATTACGGTAACATGGCTTGCTAAAAAAAAAAAATATATATATATATATATATATATATATATCTCCATCCTGTGGTTTTTTTCTTTTTTCCTTCTTTTTTAATTTTTTTTTTCAGAAAGTCCTGAATGTGGCCAGTGGATTAAGGTTATATAATCATGTTAACATCCCATCTTCTGGACCCCTCTGGCATGTTTATTCGCCCTTGTAGACGTTTCTGACAACTATTTTGCTTTCCTTACTTCATAGAGATATTGAGAGCTAGTGAAATCATTTTCACTCACATCCTCAGAGTAGAAGAAAAATGGTGTTCAGATGAGAATCCTCAACTTGGAAATCTTGTGTTTTCCTTTGATTTATGTGGGGAAATTTTTAATAATAATAAATGGTACAAGAACAAAGATATTAATATTTTGCAGGTTTTGGTTCCTGTGTTTTAGTCTCTGAGTACTTCATTTTTTAATTAATTAATTAATTAATTTATTTATTTATGAATGAGAGATGGAGAGAAAGCAAGCAGGGCAAATAGCAGAGGGAGAGGGAAAAGCAGACTTTACGGTGAGCATGGAACCCCACACGGAGTTTAATCTCAAAACCCTGAGATCATGACCTGAGCCAAAATCAAGAGTAGGTAACTTAACTGACCCCTTTAACTACTTCATTTGTAAAATACATGTTTTTTACTTGTATCTGCTTAGAAACAAAGAAACTGTGTAAATGTAAACCATTACTCATAATGATGAATCTTCCACATTTCAAGGATTATATTTTTATATCAAACTTAATAGATGTAGAGGTGAGAGCAAATGAGAAGCTCCTTAGCCGCTAGCTAAGCGGCTTCCTTTTCCTGTGGAAAGAGGAAGTCTGTGTCTTTGGAATTATAGAATTATCTGCCCTCGGTCCTAATGAGAATCAAGGAATTAGTTCAGTGGGACCTCAAAAAAGCTACTAAAGATGTCAATGAAATTCTTCCAGCTAAGAACAAATCAAGTATTGTTACGAATCTCACCTATTTAAAAAGCCTAATTTCTCCTCTAAGACATAAGTCCACATTTTCATATGATAAGTGTTATATTATCATAATATCAGCCAAAAGCATTTGCCCAGAATATTTGTAAAGTCTTAATGACATATGAGATGTAACTTCTACAGAGTTGTATTTAGGTGCTATAGGAAATTGAGTTGAAATTTTGAATTCAACTCATCACTAGTTTTGTATCCAGTCACATACAGCCATTGATGCCATGGATTATATATCTATTTTTTTTCTTTTCTGCAGGATATGATGTAGCATATTGCATAGATTTTGCATTAATATATGCTTGAAATATTAGAAAAAAATAATAGTTTAAAATTTTAATTTATCAAGGGTTTATAGTGGTCTTTAACCTTGTTATTTTCTAAATTAGCTAAGTGATTTGTCTACTGTCCCACAAAGCCAAGCATGGATTAATTGCAGAATGTGAACTCATGTTGATCACAGTGAAGCTTTGTTGTTATGATATAACTAACATAACATATTTTTTTCAAATATTAGGATGGTATTATAGCAGTCCCAATATACTGTATGATCAGATAACTAGTGCAAACACATGGGTTGAATTTTCTAGAAAAGATAAACTTTTAAAGTATATTTCCCATCTGTGATCACTTCTTAGGTGAAAATATACAAATACTTATAAAATAAATGAAATGTGTTTAACATGAATATCATAGCTCAAAAAATAAATTTTTATTTAATTTTTAAACTAATTTTATACTTTGAATTTCATAATATATTTCAGATTATTATTTTTAAAAAAGATTTTATTTATTCATTCATGAGAGACACAGAGAAAGAGAGAGGCAGAGACACAGGCAGAGGGAGGAGCAGGCTTCATGCAAGGAGCCCGACGTGAGACTCAATCCTGGGTCTCCAGGATCAGGCCAGGCCCTAGGCTGAAGGCGGCGTTAAACCATTGACCCACCCAGACTGCCCTATTTCAGATTATTTTTACTTAATTGTGAAACTCTGCTAATGAGTAGGGTTTTTTATTTTTATTTTTATTTATTTTTATTTTTATTTTTTTAAATTTTTATTTATTTATGATAGTCACACACACACACACACACACACACACACAGAGAGAGAGAGAGAGAGAGAGAGAGAGGCAGAGACATAGGCAGAGGGAGAAGCAGGCCCCATGCAACGGGAGCCCGACGTGAGATTCGATCCCGGGTCTCCAGGATCGTGCCCTGGGCCAAAGGCAAGCTCTAAACCACTGCGCCACCCAGGGATCCCATGAGTAGGGTTTTTTAAATTGAAATTTTACCTTATTTTTATAATGAGTATTCTTTATTATTAGTATCTCATAGCTTTCTGGTAGCCACCTTAGCTATATGGTCTTTGAAGTGATGGACTAGAGATTCTGAATACACAAAACATAATGAACATTTGTTTTAGTCATGTAAAATGGTACCTAGAAAGGCTGGCTAGGGGTAAGTTGTGTTTTTTCCCCTCAGTTTTTTCAAATTGTGGCAAAATGCACAAAACATAAAATTCACCATCTTAACCATTTTAAGTGTGTATTTCAGTGTTATTAAATACATTCATAATGTTTGTAACCATCACCACCATCCATCTCCATAACTCTTTTTATCTCGTGAAACTGAAACTATATTCATTAAACAGTGACTCTCTATTCCCTGTCCTCCCAGCTTCTGTCAGCCACCATTCTGTTTTCTTTCTTTATGATTTTTGGCTACTATACCTATCTTATTTAAGTAGAATCATATAGTATTTGTCTTTTAGAGACTAGCTTATTTCACTTCGCATAATATCTTCGTGGTTCATCCATGTTGTACATCTGTTAAAATTCTCTTCCTTTTAAAGGTTGAATAATTTTCCATTGCATTTTTATACTATATTGTCTTATCCATCAGTGGACCCTGGGATTGCTTCCGAGTTTTAAATATTGTAAATAATGCTGCTATGAACCTGGGTGTATAAATATCTTTTTGAGATTTTTAATTCTTTTGGGTATAAACCCAGAAGTGGAATTGCTTGATCATATGGTTAAATTTATTTCTAAGTATTTTATTCTTTTTGATGCAGTTGTAAATGGAATTGTTCTCTTAATTTCTCTTCTTGACAGTTCATTATTGGTTTATAGAAACTTAATGATTTTTGAATCTTGAATTTATATCCAGCAACTTTACTGAATCCATTTATTTAGTTCTAACATTTTTTTGGTGGAGTCTTTAGTAATTTGAGTCTTCTCCCCCACCCCCTTTCTAGCATCTAGCTCTAAGGGTTTGTCAAGTTTATTGATCTTTTCCAAGAACCAACTTTTGATTTTATGGATTTTCTCTGTTGTTTTCCTGTTCTCGATTTCATTGATCTCTGTTCTGATCTTTATTATTTCCTTCTACTAGCTTTGGGTTTAATTTGCTCTACTAGTTCCTTAAGTTTTAAAGTTAGGTTGTTGATGTAAGATCTGTCTTGTTTTTTAAATATATTTATAACTTTAAGTTTCCCTCTCATATTGCTTTTACTATATCCCATAAGTTTTCATATGTTGGGTTTTCATGTCATCTTTAAGTATTTTTTTAATTTCCCTTGTGATTCTTGTTTGATTCATTGGGAGTTTGCATTAATTTCACAAATTTGTGAATTTTTTAGTTTTCCTTCTGTTATTCAGTTCTAACTTCATCCCACTGTGGTCAAAGAAGATACTTTGTATATCTACTTATCTTTTCAAATCTTGAGACTTAATGTATGCTCTAACTTATGGCCTATTCCTGGAAAATGCCTCAATTGCACTTGAGAAGTTAGTTTATTATGTTGTTTAATTGCCATTTCCTTTTTATCTTCTCTCTGGTTGTTTTATCCTGAACTGAAAGTGAAGTATTAATATCTGTAATTATTATTGTAGAACTGTGTATTTCTCTTTGGTAAATGTCTTCAAAGGGTATGTATCTTGCTCTTTAAGGAGATCATACATGGGTAATGTAGGATTGTCAGAAATATACCACATATAAAGTTATCCCATTTTATTAAATTGTTTTATTATCCCTCATCTTGATCTTGTAAACTTTTGACTCTGATTAAATCCATACAGGGAAACCAAAAAATAGAAATAGAACAATGTTACTATTCCAGGGTAAAACCTTAATTTAATTATATATGTATAAATAAATAATCATTTATTTATAGTTATTTAATAACTTTTAGGATGTAATCTAATAATAAATTAATGGTTTTCTTCCAGTCCACTTTGTAAGAAACATTTTAAAAATAATAATGTGAAAATTTATAAGAGGGATCTTTTAACATTTGCTAGAAAATTAGTGAATAAGAAGAGATATTAAGGTATTATAATACTGCACATAATATTCTATGATTAAACTTAATACAGTTTAAAGATTACCAACCATTTTGAAATTTTGGTTTAAAAGCTTTGAAGTTCCTTAACATGAAAAATAAGAATAATTGCAATATACTATAACTCATAACACACTAGATGCAGGTGGAAAATTTTTAGCTGTATCTTTGTATATCTTTAATTCTTGTACTTTTTATACAAAAAGGGAGATAGGAAGGCCAAGCACAACTTTTAACTGATTTCCTTCTCTTAAAAGAATTGAAGTTTACTCAAATTATTTTTTCTTTATTCTCCTTGTTTATTGTAGAAACTTAAAAGGAAATTAAATGCCAATGTTCAATCATTCATATTTTTCACCTTTGAAGGTAATCTTATTTTACTGAACTCATTGTATTATAACGCCTACAGAATGTTTTCTTCTATCTGGGGAGAGAGAAATTCAGACTGAGTCTTTAAGGGCCAAACCAAAGAGGCCAGGTTTAATTTACCAAGTTTTTATTGTACCATCGTTACCTGTGTCCTTGGTACAATGACCTGCCCTAACAATATGTATGCATATTAAGCTTTTATACAAGCTAATCACAGTGTTGATTATATTATTGCTAGTATGCTTACTCTATGTCATATGTTCTGTTTATGTTATGTAATTTAATTTTCTCAACAACCCCATTTTATAGAGGAGGAAATTGTGTTTCTGACTTGTTCAGGCAACTGGAGCTAGTAATTAATTGGCAGGGCTGGCTTCTGTCTGAGATATATCCTGTTCCAAAACCTGTGCTCTTAACTACTTGATTTAGTCTACTTTGCAATTTTTGTAGAGTGAAAAATGTATAATAAAAAAAGATTTCTGTTGATCGGTATAATTACCTTTGTTCGTTTACAGTATTTCTGACATTTGCTTTCCTGAGTTTTGAATCCTTTGGTTACGCTCATTTTTAATTTTACAGATGAAAGAATGATCAGAGACATAAGTTTTATAAGCAGGGTAATTATTTTTTCCTAACCAATTTCACCTTGCTTATTCCCATTTTCTTGAATAGAAGGAAAAAAAGAGAACATGAACTTTTTGAATCTTCAAAATTACTAGCCTATTTTGGAAATTGCAAGGGCAAACAAGAGGATATTTTAAGAACATATATTTGTTTGAACAATCTGATTTAATGGTCAGGATATTGGCCTGGCAGTTGGACAACAAAATTATCTTGAAAAAAATAATGAACTACTTTATTCTTTAATAATTAAATTAGGATATTATTTACTGTTTTTATTCTTCATGGGAAAATTATGAAAAGCATTATAATTATTTCAATTATGTGTTTAAGTGATATAAACAGACAATTAAGAATGACAGTTTAAAATTTTTAAAAATTATCCTTTTAGAAAAAATCTTAGCATTTCTGAGAGATAGCTAGATTATACCCTATTATTGCAGGAAGAACCTTTTCTGAGTTTAAACCTTTTAAAGAAATATTTGTCCTGAAGAAGAAAACACTTTTTATATAAAGAATAATACGTGTCTTCAATTTTTGGAATTGTGATCTCTCCTTTGGTGTTATATGATTTTCTTAATGTTACCATAATTACTTTTTTAGTGTATTTTGGGATCTCTACTGTGCAGCTCCAGAAAGACGGGAAACATGTGAACATTCAAGTGAAGCAAAAGCCTTCCATGATTATGTGAGTTAATATATAATTTTACTAAGTCATATTATCAGTTTTCTTTTTTAATCACTGCTCCTGAAAAATGTATTGGACCATCTATTCTTTTCCTTTGGTTTTAAGAAATTGGCTGTTATTTTTTTTCTGGAGAAATAGGGTTATAACTTTAAAAGTGAAATACAAATGAATATTTAAGTCTTGTTGAAAATCTTAGGATAAGAGGTTAGTCCAAATGCCAAGTTATTAAAGGTTTTTATTTTTTATCTATAAGTATGCCTGATTTGTGAAAATTCAGATTTATAAAAATTAAGTATTAATTCTGTATTCCATAAAAGGAGTCATAAGAATTCTGTAAATGATAAGTTCCTCTTTTGTACGTAAGATTGAAAAAATGTATGATAATATACTTTTCTTTTTTATACCTTTGGATTATATATTAGAAAGCTAAATATCCATTACACTGAATTCATTTCTACAAATAAAATTTATTGTGAATTAAAGGAAACACAAGAGAGCAAAAGGTTCTGTGCAAAAACAAAAATGCAGTTAAAAATTGTTTTTAATTCCTAAGGAAGGGCATGTACTATCCATAGCTAGGTGATGTATATTGAGCATTTTGTTAGAAGAACTGCAAATGTGGTTTTAGAGAGTCGATGGTATCAGGAAGTAGAACTGTAGAAAAAGAGGAGGAGGAAAAAAAATGCAAGATTTTTTTAGGGAAAAAAATGCATTTAAAAATAAGATGGTATTGTGAAGGGGCTGGGAAAATACTGTTTGCATAATTGACCATAAAGGAAGGGCAACCTGAGTTTGGGAGGAAGGAAATCCAGTGTCCTTAGTTTGAAGGAAGTGGAAATGGAACTGAGACCTGAGGTCATCTGGTAGTGACTACCTAAAACTTAATCAGAGAGCTATTTTAGTTGATAGAAGGGGGACATCATTCTTTGTGAATAGCCTTAAAACTGGGCTCAAAAGGGAAAAAAGACCTTGTTCTTCCAAAAGACATACTTCAGCCTTAGACTAAAGAGTAGGCATAGCCAGGACATTACAGCCCCCAAAGAGCATAAGGAAAAGTGTACAGAAAAGTGTACAGGCTGAAGAGAAGTAAAAGTCTTGGGAATCTGGAAGGGACTATGTAATACTTTAACCTTGTGCTAAACTGGTTAACGTGACTGCTCATGCTTGCCTCATCTGATATTGATTATATTCATAGAGCTTGCTATGCAGTAAACAATAATACCTCTTGGGGAGAAGATGAGCGAAAGGGATGCTTCTGCATGTAAAGAAAAAGTAGAGAAAAGGCAGATAAGGCAGGGCCCAGGACATAGTATTTATCTGGATAATCTTGTTTTCCATATTTACCCTTGGGTATGGCAGAAAGTAGAGCAGAGACCCAACCATCAAGATAATAAGGAATTTGGCTAGAGGGGGATGGATACTCCATCTCATATCATATATCTCCCACACCAAAAAGACACACCCAGATGTGGTGTACCAGTCATGGGAAATACTTTTTAAATACTCACTAACTTTGATAACTAGATGGCCTTAAATAATACCAGAATTGTACTCCAAGGACCATAATTTTTGTGAATCTACATTTTAAGAAATTAATTATATAAATACTTCTTCATAATTCTATTGTAGAGGAAGATGCACCCTACTGTTCACCATGGAGGTCTTATAAGGAATATCGAACTAATATAGGTCTCATAGAAGCATTAGATACATCATTGTCATTGTCAGAGCCTCATCATCATCGTTGTCATATACGTGTTGCATTCATAAGGCATTTTCAGTATTTCAAAGAGTATTAACACTTACTAACTTTAGGAACCCACTTAAATATTTCACGGTTTTTTAAAATGAGCATTGACTAGAGGCACGAGTGAAATAGATTAGATTATATTAGAAATAGTGAAATAGATTAGAATAGATTTTCAAGGAAGAATAACCCCTTAGCATGTAATTTGGTCTTAAGAAAATGTAGTTTAGAAAAAATTAAGTATTTGGATTTTTAAATACATTATGAGTATTAGCACATGCTTTATTAGATATTTTATGACTTTACCTTAAGTATTAGTTTTAAGAAATTTGATTTTTTAGGTGGCATTTTTATTATAACTTTAAGCCAGTTTATTTTCAGTGATAATACATCTCCAATTTTTTTAAAATGGAGATTTGTGAAAGAGTTTGACTTACATAATTTCATGTTATAATTGGGTTTTTAGAAATACACTTTTTTGTAGCTTACTTTACTGGTAATTTTCATGAGTAGGATTTTCTGACTTAGTGACAGTTTCTGAAAATGATCAACATAATTCATCTTTAATGTGTAGATATAGAAGTTTGAAAAACTCAGGGAAGAAAATGGGAAACAGAAACAAATAATAAGATTGTAGTAAAATTCTAGAAT